AATTACACCATGCTATTTAAAACCGAAATCAAACTGCCCCCATTCAACTTACAAGGGGGATAGGGGAGGCATCTGTTAAGCAAAAACAAGCTCGATTCATAACAGAAAGGGGCTATCAGGATAGGCTTGAATTAAAGATATTAGAGAGTTTGGTTCTGTGCCAGCTACAGCCCCGGCTGCTGAGAACGTGTGTGAATGGGTGTGTGAGTGAGTGTGTGCGTGCGAAATGAGAGGAGTCTCTTTGGTTGTTTCATTACACTCATTATTCCCTTTTTGTGTCATTTCTGCAGAACTTGGGAGGAACATCAGCCGCTTGTTTTCCCTCTAGGAGCATGGTAATAGGCCAGTTTTTCATTCAGAATGACAGCCCAATTATACCGCCTCCTTAATTCATATATTCCAGGGCACATGCACATCAGCAAAGCTGGCTCATCTCTGGGGCGGGTTGGGATTAACAGTCATCAGCAGGCATTACAGAGTTTCCTGACGCATGGGAAGTAACAACTGGTAAGAGGGAGACACAAAGAGAACTGCTTTGCTTTAGGTATTGAAAAACCCTTATAAAAAAACAGGCCGCCACTGTGCTTTTGTCATGTTAAACTCTTAATGGAGTTATGGTAATCTGCATAGCAACAATAAACTTGAGATGTGCTGGTGGAGTCTACAGGGCAGTGCTCTGCTATGTAGCCAAAAATGATGGTGCAGTGACAGGGCACTAGTCTAAGATTTAGGAGACAGAAGGTTTCAGTCCCTACTCTGCCACAGACACTTTGTGTGATCCTGGGCAACTCACTTAGCCTTATGAGGCTCATCTGTAAAATGAACAATTATTTCTGTAAGGAGGATATGTATATTAAAGGCTATCATGTGTCCAGCTACTACAGTCTCTAGGGCCAGACCCTTACTGTGAGAACTAGAATAGTGGTACACAAAGTACCCAAGGCCCAGCAGTGGGAGTGGATGGCAACTAGGGATGTAAATGGTTTATTGGTTATGATTAACCGGTGGAGGCTGGATCAGTCCATCTTCTGTGGGCAGCGGGCTGCTCGGGGCCCTTCAGGGGCAGGGGCTCTCCAGCCTAGCCAGAACAGCCCTTGCCTGTCCTGTTTAAACAATTAACCAGTTGAACATAATGTTTAGCTGGTTAACTAATTAAATCAGATTTTACATCCCTAATGGCAACCAGATACGAATCCCCTCAGTTGACTCAGAGCCCTCAGTTACATCTACATGAACCCTGAGAGAAGCAAACAGAGTAACACTCACGAAAGTGCAGCAGGTTAGATCACAAAAAGCAGAGAGTTGTATTCCTACACCTGCCACCTGTGCAGGGCTGCTCTATCACTTCAACGCACAAAGCGCCAGGTCGGTTTTCAAGGTACAAAAAGAGATCTCGGTATTGTAGCTTCCTGCTGGGACACACACACCAGGGAAAGAGCTGATTACAGAACTACCAAGTACGCCAGGCAGCTATTTCCTGGAACAGAGACCGCCAAAGGCAGGACCACCACAAATAGCCCACATCATGCAATCGAGGGGGCTTCCCTGGACTGAACAAATGGAGTTTTAAATGGGCAGGGCATTGCTGAGGAGCTAATCCCCTCCTGAGACTCCAGTGGAAATACCCCAGTGCTGAACTCGACCTTTAAAGATTTACAAGTTGAGCACAAAAGCATTGTTTCTTAACAATTCCCTTCTTTGCACTGCCCAGAGCACTGCTCCAGCAGCCTTACCAGTGGAGGAATCTAACTGGGAGGAGAGAAGGTCTTGTGCAGAGCCGCCCCATCCAGAGGACAGTTCGAGGTGGCTGCCTCAGAGTGCTCCACTTCCCAACACCATGGAGAGCAGGCACAGTGGGCCGGGAGGGTGTTGCAGGGAGAAAGCTATTGGGTCGTTGCAGCTCTCACCACCAGAGTGGGGGGGAGGGGAGCGACCACTGCTGCTACTGTGCTTGTCTCTCCCCCCCTCCCCAAAAAACACCCAGGCTGCATTGCTCGGGGTGGAGCAGAGGGAAGGCTTTGGGAATAGGTGGGGTGTGGCCCACAGCGAGGAGGGGGTTGCCTCAGACCCTGCGCTCTTCCATGGGACGGCTGTGGTCTTGTGATTATAAGACACAGGATTTGAGGACCTGGGATCAATTGCCAGATCTGCTCCTCACTTTTATCTCACCCTTTGTCAGTCTTCTCTATTTACACTGTTCGCTCCTCATGGATAGGGATTTGAGCAAATGCAGTATAAATCGTAACAACAGTGCGGAAGGGCCAGCCAGCTCTCTAGGGGCAGCTTAGGCAGCCCAAAGCCGGCTGCAGCAGCTGGTGCCCCAGGCGAAAGGCGCAATTGGCACCCCCCACCTGCACGGCTGTCAATGGCCGTGTTGTCATCATCGGGCGCCCGGGCGCCCCATGATGTCATCATAGGGTGCCCTAGGCCGGCGGCGCCCTAGACAACTGCCTCGTCTGCTTAGGCTCACAGGCCACCCTTGAGCTTAGGCAACACAATGGCTAAAGAGTTAGCTGTTGCCTGTGCTTTATGTATAGTAGCTGCTGCAATTGCCGCCATCAGTAGAGCTGTGCACTACTCTGCGGGAGGCAGCATGTGCCTAGAGGGATGCCATTATAAGAAGCAAAGAGGTGCTGACAGATGTGCAGTTCTCTCTGCAAGGCCATCTTACCTGTTTCTTTTTCAGCTTCGAAATCTGCTGTTCGACCATGGTGATTTCCCGATCCACACGGTCCATGTTCTGGATCAGCTCCTCCTTCGAAAGCCTGGATGGCAACAGATCCAATTCCGAGTCCGGGTGGGCAGGGCTGACTGGAGACACGGGTTCCAGCTTGCCTGTCAGGCCTCGATCCTGAGGAAAGTAAGGACAATCCGATCAATCAGTTCTCAGGAGAATTTAGCACTATCCCCTCACATACCTTCATCTCACACTGCAGATGCCGATTTCCCTGGTCACTTTCCTGTTCTTTAACATGGCCACTTCATAGAACCTGCTATATTAAGCAATGCTCGCCACATCACACAGATGCCACCAACTCCCTGGCTCCCCACAGAACAGCAAGTTAAACTCCAGGGAGTTTCCAGGTGGCCCTCACCTTTTTGGCCCTGCACACTACTTACCCCACAAAGGCCCCTGGACACTGGGACAGTAAGCCCCTTCAGCTGTCACTATGGGTGGTGGGTGAATCTAGGGCTGAGATGGCAAACCTCCAGCACTGTCCCTTCCTTTCAAGACCCTGCCCTTGCCATCCATGGCTCAAGTATGCCCCTCACTGAGGGGCAGGCCTTCCCAAGCATGGGTGCCCGTGGCCTTCCCGCCCCCCAGGATGGTCAGCACACAGTCCTGCTTCCCCAAATATGGAAAGGACAGGCGACGTGCAGCCCCAGCCCTTCCAGAGCATGGGGAGAGTAGGCAGGCAGATAAGCGTGGAGCGACATCCTGCCTCTGTCTCAGCCTCAGTGAGGGAGAGAGAAGGGTGGCAGCTGCAGCCCTGGCATCCCCAGGAGACTGGGAGAGCTGCGCTGAATGGGGAAGCCTGGAGACAGAGTGAGGGAGGGCCAGCCAGACGGTTTGGGAAGGTGTTGCCTTCCCCTGCCACTTTTACCAACCACTCATGGCCATCACTCCTCACCAAAACCATACAACCACCAGCTTCACAGGTCAAACTCCTGATGGGTAGGGACAGAGCTTTACTGAAAAATAATTGCAGACTATAGCAAAATGTAATAACATAAGAATGGCAACACTGGGCCAGACCAAATGACCATTTAGCCCAGTATCCTGTCTCCTGACAGTGGCCAATGCCAAGTGCCCCAGAGGGAATGAACAGAACATGGAATCATCAAATGATCCCTCCCCTGTCACCCATTTCCAGCCTCTGACAACCAGAGATAGGGACACCAACTTAACAGGACAATAGTCCCAACAGCTGAATTGAGGAAGAAAGAGAGTCACACACAGGCTCAAGTTGTTCTAAAGGAATTTCAGAAGCCTCCTGGAGAGGAAAGAGAGAAATCTCAGAGGGGTGGGGGCACTTTCAAGTTCTTGTTAATTTGTGGAACTGCTCAGGTACTGGGTGCCAGATAATTAAGAAAAATGCGATGATGCAGAGGAGACTAGGTTAGATAAAAGAGGTGGCGCTAACAGAAAGTGTCTGTCTACAGGTTCAAAAGCAAATGCTGTTTGTAGAAGTTCTCAGGTGAAGGACACTCTTTAAAAAAGAAACTTCCTGGGGCAATGTAGCCTAAAAGTTTCAAAGCACAGCTCTCACTAGGATGGGGTTGATGTGAGGGAGGAACCACTCTGGGGAAAAGATCAAAATGCTCAGCACTTTTGATTTCTCACAAGCAAAGCCATGGTTTAATTGCTACTCATTTGCCAACATCCCCAGATACTTGTAGAAAAATAAACCTGCTTTTGTACAGTAGGGATGTAAAATCCCAGTTAATTGGATAACCGGTTAAATGGTAGGTCAATCTATCTTTTAACCAGTTATCCAAGTAAGTGTGATCTGGGCAAGGGACTGCTCTAGCACAGCTGGAACTGCTGCCAGCTCCCAGATCCCAGCAGAGCAGCCCTAGTCCCTGGCAAGCCCAGGCTCCCCACCAGACAGAGGC